TATTCATGTAAATAGATTTACTATAACATATATGTATAACTACTCATTTGTAATAACCAAATAGTTACGATTAATAAAAATTACAAATTAAGCCTGTGGACCAATCCATCATAGCCACCCACATAGTCAGAGGAAACCAAACATCTCCAATCCATAAATGCAAAGGCTGCTCCTTTAACAACCCAGAACTCAGAAGGCAGTACAAGGATCAACCTAATGTATAATGATGCAGTTATTGGCAAACTCAGTAAATATCAAAGTTAAAAAGAGCATCCATGGTTGCATCTCATCACATGCACAAGACAGGAATACAAAGCAACCAGCAATTAACAGACTGCAATCGTCACCACAAAAGATAGAGCTCGCACTTAAGGAAATCAACAGGAAAGGCCTGGACACAAATTTACTATCAATACATATGGACCCCCTATCAATCACAAAAGGCCTAATCCAAAAGAGGCTAAAGGTCACTAAAAGAACAATAGCAAAGCTACAACAAATCATACAAGAAATCAGTAATTAGGACAATCTGAAGATATATACTGACGGTTCCTTCCCAAGGTGACACACGAACAGTAGAAGGTGGATAGTCCAAACAAAGACAGGAACACATATCGCTGCATTCCAAGCAGAAACACGGGACACCCCATTCTCTACCAGAGCAGAATTAACAGCAATACTAACAGCAATCAGTACCGTAAGCATAGGAAAAAATATAGAAATAATCACAGACAGTCAAGGTGCAATAAATGCAGTTCAGAAAACTAGGGAAAAGAACAAAATCAAGAATAAAAAAACAGAAACCCCAAACAGGATCCTGGTTAACACTATCCTAGTGATCGTAGCCACACAGAATATCAAGATAAAGTGGACAAAGGTCAAAGGACACTCAGGAAATGAAGGAAATGAAGCAGCAGACAAGCTAGCCGCAACAACAATACTAGACAAGCCCAGAGACATAATAAGGATTCAAGAGTTACACTTGACAAGCAACATGACAGTACTCAGATGGGACTAGTCCTTTGTGAACCTCTCCTTCAGAATAATAGGGAAAACCCTCCTCAAGACAAAATGGGCAAGCAAATGGAGAATCCTACAAAGAATACAAGAATGGCTTTCTGGACAGAAATCAAAGGAAATAGATTGGAACCTTATGATGGAAACACTAACACCCTCCAAAATAATATCACTCAAAACAAATCAGCAGAACCACAAAGACAGAGCATTTCGTTGAAAAACATGACTCAATGAACATCCCACAATAGTAAACATGAACATACAAAAACCATACCTGTACAAAAACCTAACATACATTATATGCAAACAACATGAAGAAAGAGATCTACATCTATTTATCTGTGGACCAAACAAGACAAGATTGAGGGAGAGGTATATATTCTTCCTCACCAAAGAGTGCACAGCTAGGGCAAATGATAACAAACAAAGGGAAGCCATACAAGAAAACTGGAAAAGGTCACTCAATACACTAATATCAAGAGAAACAGAAGGATCGAATAAGATAGGATGGCTGGATATCATAAGAGAGGCCATTATATACAAAATGAGACAGATAGCATAAGAAATCACAGGGGATGCAAAAGCAGCGAAGATGGAATTGAAGGTGACAACAGATTGGTTTTGGAAAGAGAAAAAAGAAATTTGGAAGCTGAGGTGTGACCTGGTTATAGAATGGGAAAAAACTCGAGGAATCTCATCGAATAAGAAACATGAACGTACAAAAGGGCCCCAAGGATCAACAAGTACAAGGGGACAACAGGGCAGAATAACACAAAATATTAACAAATACTCATATATAGATGTAACCAACCATTGCATAAGCAATATTTTATAGAACAGATACTCACCTAACTTACTCTTTTCCTTAAATATCAGTGTTAGTGGAGTCATGACATGCTAACATTCACCATCAGGTGAACTGCAGCAAGTTGCAGAGTTTGCATAAATACTGAGCCAACAGTTCTTTTTCTATCATAAATGTAATCTTTCTCGCAATTCAATTTGTGTATAAAAGAAGGTACCAATGATTAAATAAAAACTGAATGGCATGACTTCACCAGCTATTAAAAAAAAAAAAAAAAAATTAATAAACTATGATCTAGCCTGATTACAGGTACTCAAATAAATAAATAAATAAAAAATATATTTAATAAAATTTGTTTATGATATTATAAATAATGAAAAAGAAAAAAGAAATTATTTAAAAATTTTTATTAAATAGTATTAGAGTATTTAATAATATAAAATATTCTTGAAAATTTCAGTTTAAAAATAATTTTATTTCAATGTATAATTTAATAAATATAATTGATTGCATAAACTTTTTAAGAATTAATTTAATTATTATTAACAATAAATATGCATTAACCATTTAGTTTTTATTCAAATTTTTTATTTTTATGAATAATTTTAAGCATTAATCAAATAGTTAATAATAATTTCTATTAATAGTTAATATAACTTCTTATTATATTTTTGTAATAATTAATTCAATAAATTAATACTGTTTATTTGAATCTTGAGACTTGACTTAAAAAATATAATATTAAATTGATTTTTTTATAATTGAATTAAGTTATAAAAAATATGTAGATTTAAGTTAAATAAAAATTATCATTTAAACTTTTTTTTAATAATTATATTTTAATAATTAATAATTTTAATAATTTTACTATTATTATTATTTTTATAAAAAGGTATTAAAATTTCAAAAATAAAATAAAATCGAAATTTCAAGGATTTTATTACTTTGAAGATTCAAAGATTTTACAGAGTGCAAAAACGATAGCATTGTTATTTTATTATAGCAAGATTGACTAAAATACTGTGAAAAATTATTTCAATTCAGATGGCTATTTTCCTATAATTTCACATTTGAATTTTACGGGAATACACAAATAAGAATTAATTGATGTTTGATTTATTATTTGTTTTTAATAAAAAAAAAAATAGAATAATATAAAAATGTTAAAAAGATTATGAATTTAAAGTAACAGTATTTTATAAACTAAAATATAATATTTTATTTTCTGCTTTTACAATAATATATATAGTGTATAATAGTGATATAATAATAAATAATAATATTATTATTATTAAAGATACAGTAGATAGGCACGATTGTTGGACAAATGGTATGCCCGAATTGAATTTCAAAACCGATTTATACAATAATTAAACCATACTTGCAACACGCCAAGACAAACCTTGTACCTTTATTGGCAACAAGAATACATATCCGTACGGTTTTTATAATCCGCTTGACGGCGGGATTCAAAAATGCAAGGTATCTACCGTTTATCGTGCCTATCGTATTAATAAATAATATAATTTTAGATTGGGCAAAAAAGATTTGTTCTGCATGCACAGCATACATATTATACGAATAGATGGTTTGACAATAATAGTACGGTGTTTTTTTAAATATAGTATGAATGTTGGTAAACGGCATTTTGTTTTCTGGTCAAAGATTCATTGATGGGCAAGCAAATGGTAGGGTAGGGTAAATGATAAGCCAAATTTAATGATGGAAAAGACAGATGAACAGATACAATTGATTGTAAAAGTTTCAATGTCAATATACCAGTATTGCATCTTTATGGCAGGATGGTCACTATCATCTATATCTTTAGCATGGATTTAGATGCATCGATAGGAATATATACTGTAAATAGATATTCAAAGTTCTTTGGGTATACAATATACATTTCTTTAATAGAATATACAGTATATGATATATACTGTGTATGTGGTGTGTATAAATAATTAGATATACAGTACACTGTATATTCGTGTATATAAATACTTAAATTTAAACCTTAATGAAAGGTCCAAAAGGGAATTCCTTTCACAAATGTTCCGTCGCCCTGAACGCTCACCAGTTAAATTTCTCACATGGTTTCAAGGGGACTCGTTCTGGAAAGTTTCTCCTCCATATGTAAAAATACAGCAATGATTTGGATCCGGACGACTGAAATCGCGTCACATGATAACACATCACGTAGATTTTGCACGGCTATGTGTAGCGAGAACTTCCGACTTTCACACATCACGCGGTTTCACTTTTTATATTAATAGAACCCTATGAGCACATATATGGAATGATCCGTCTCATACAGCCACATACGTAATACGCATCTTTTCTTCAGGACTTCTTGACTGACCCTTAAACTCGTTTATGGAAATATGAAGCGGTACAGATTTATCGCACACCTTTGTCATAAGAGAGACCCGGACCTCTGATGCGTGCGTTTACTTGTTGCACGCAATCCTGTGACACCTCTAGAAGAATTTCGTAAATGAGCATTCGATGTTCTACAGGTTTACGGTGAAATTAATAATAATAAAAAAAAACTTAATGTACTAGATGACACCAAAGTTTGGTCGCGCGTCACATTGTGTTCTTTAAGATTCTGGGAGGTAACGTCCCACACCTTTATCAACCAATTAATCAGGTCTGATCGCCGATGATCACTAAAATGGGAAACAATAAAGGGACGGCTAAACTTGCAAAGGTTTTCTCCTTCTTCCTTATGTGTAAGTGAACTATGCTTACACGACGGCGACGGCGCGTGACAATAATGTTATTACTTAGAGTCATCTATATTGTTAAGGAAAAAAAAATTGGCGATTTGTTTTTTCATTGATTCTTCAGCATCACATCAAATTCAAGCATCAGTTTCCATATTTGTTATCATTTAGGGAGACGAGACAAACATTGCGCATCACCGTATCAGGATTTGACCTATTACGTTATAAAATTGGACGTAGTTAAAAGTTCTCTTGGTGTAATCACGTGGAACAAATGAGTAATCCCGAGGTGTGGATCGTTCGTTAGCTTCGAGAGGATTGGATATTTTTTTATTTACAATAAGTAAGTACTGTACAATACATATACATATACATAAAAATATTTATGTCCTGTGTTCCATAGAATATCTTAAGTTCATCTTAGAAAAGCAATAATAAAAGTTCGAAAATTCCTAGGCTTTCAAGATCTTTGCCAAAGTATTCACCAGCTCTTCCATCTTATTTAATCCTTTATTAATAGTTCGCACATAGTTCTGCGATTCTCGGCATTGCGGGCATGATTTCCCGCGGGTCGTCTTGGTTGTATCAATATTCGTCAGTTGAACATGCGTGAGATTCATATCCACCGGTGGGATTCTGTGATAGGGTGTGGGATCAACCCGTGCATTCTTCTTTGTTTTTCTGGTCGCTCCTCTGCGACATTTGTTTGATGGAAAGCTGCTTTCATTTTGATTCGACAGTGACAAGTACGAGTTCAAATTATCACTCGACATTTCTTGAATTAGCCGACACTCTTTTTCCCGAAAGGTAAAAAATTACGTCTTAAACTATCATAAAATATCTCTCGCACGAAAACTTTAAGATTCCAAGGACGTATTTTTTAAAGAAAAAAAAAAAAGTTCACACTTGGCTTCGATTCGCCTGATTTATACCGAGTTTTCATTGTAAATCGTGCAATAAATAAGGAAAGGAGCAGCCGAGTCGGATCAACAATTCCGTTTGGCATGCACGGTATTGAATGAATGGAAACTCACGTGGAGAACAATAGTTGCGTCGTTCTGGTGAAGGTAATATTGCGCAAAATACAATACGTGCCTTTTTCAGGACCCGTCACGACCACAGCATCATTCGAGATCTATAATGGTGTGGTGCATGTAATGTGGTGGTGTACTGTATGTACACAGTAGATATACTGTATGTACATGCGATACGTATGAACGGTGACAAGGATGGACGTGTTCATACTGTATCTTTGATTTATTGGATACGTACTCAATGAATTTCCACAAAGGCATTGTCCAATGGATGAATGGCGCCGAGGAAATCAGGGTATTGTGTCCTTGGTGAAAAAAAAAAAGGTACAAATTAAATTGTAATATGCTCTATATGAGGACATAAAGAGAATGATCAATCAGTTGGTCTGCATCTCTAATCTATCTTTTTTTCTTTCTTTCTTTCTTTCTTTTTTTTTTTTTGGTCACATTTTCTTGGTGTACTGAAAGATCCAGTTTAATATTTTTGCATTCTTGTTTAATTCAGTAAATAAACATTGCTACTAGAGTTTGAATTTAATTTGCGACCGAGAACTTGTACGTGTTGATCATCCCTTCAAGAAAAAAAAAAGGGAACATATGCGTACTGTATATACAGTACGTTCAACGGAAAAACCTTATGTTAACGAAAAAAGAAAACACGAACATGAATCAGGCTGCATGTTGCACCGAACGACATCATTATTATACACTTGATTTTAAGCCAACTTTGCAACATCTCTTGTCAACCGAAATTATTCTCAATCTGTCAACTTTTACACGTAGTGTTAACTAACGCATGCGCAAAAATATTTAGAGTGTGTCGACTCGTGTTCCGGGGTAACTCGAAGCACATTTACTCGGGCATCTTTGAAGATTGTAAATTTCCTTCTTTCATCACATTTTCGCGGACCTTCATTGATGTTTGATAATGAATAATTTGGGTACCAAGCATTACCGCATTAAGGTGTTACCGTCTCCTTTCCTTTTTTTTTTTTTTTTTTTTTAGAAAATGTGAAAGATTTGTCGATCTACACTATACTTGTTTCCTAAGTTGGACGCACCATATGCGTCCTTTTTTTAGTATATGCACAATATTGTGTGTGCTCTTTTTTAGTACAAATACAATAATAATTGCTTGTGCACTCATCCGACAACGCCTCAAAGTTACGACGGTCGATGCACAAGGCTTGTTTGCTCATTGACCGAAAAATCTTATGAGCGTGACTTCATCAATCCGCCCGACAAAGTTTTAACCGTCCCCGTCCCGCCTTGCAGTTCCAAGCAAAAAATCGTGGCATCAGAAATCGTTTGTCGAGATGTAATTTATAGCGGTGGCGAGTACAGTACAATGTACCGTACAGTCACTGTCGTACGTACAGTAATCATTTACTTTTTTATATTTTCTGAATTTGTTTGTAAATATTAATCTTGAAATCCCTTTTGTGCAATATTGATTACAGTTTTTTTTACTAGTCAGTGCACCTTTTAAGGCAAAACGCACAATGCGATATGCATGCCGATGTCGTCGAGTGTCAATTTCTCATTTGAAACCTCTGCACATACTTTATTCATACGATATACAGTACATGAGTAACAAAATGTTTGTTAATTCATGATAAAGAAAGAAGACGAACAATGATGCATACATGTTTAGATGGAATTCATCTTGATAAACGAGTAGAGAGGAAGCGAGTTGACGTTTTAAGGCTTACATATATCTAATAGTGTGGCTGAAAAGGAGGTGGGATGGCATAAGAAATCATAGAAAGGTGGTTGGAAAGAAATGTACGAAAGATCATTTAAGAAGTAGAAAAAAATTTTTCGATTTAATTTAGCGATCAATGCCTTGCGCGCGCGTTAACAATGTCTAGTTTTGAGCGGAGAAGTATCGATCGTTTATGGAAGGATTTGAATCCCTCTGGACGTTGGCAGATACGATAGAGTTTGTGAACGCTATAATAAAGTGCTGTATGTCGTCAAGGCTAAAATCGGAAAAATCATTTCTGCCGGCATCGTAATGCGGCAAATTTGACTCTCCTTGTGGTTGAGAGACGAGAATTTGTGGAATCCCCGAAGCGGAGGTGGATTGTGGGTCCTGCTGAATTTAATACAAAGGCGATAAATATGAGAGAAACTTGGATAAAATGCGCGCGCGCGCTTGTGAGCGCAACATTCAACAATAACAATAACCTTGACATCCGCTTTGGTCTTCGTGCTTACGGCCAAGGAGTTCACCAAATCTTCTATTCTTCCAATTCTTGAGTATAACAATTTGATGCACTTATTGGATTCCTTGCAACGTGCACACGTCCTTTTTGTCATTTTCGGTGCACCATCGTCCACAGGTGGAGGTGGACGTGTGGAAGGAACACCACGGGTGCCATTAATGTTAACGGGTGGGTTTAGCCGGTTAAAGTTTGACATTTTTGCTTATGCCTCGAGTCTCTGTAAAATAGACGTCGTCGTGAACGGTGATTCTGAATCTTGAAAAATAAAAGCCATACGTATATGAGCCGAGTTTATATAAGGAGTAAGGACTTCTTTCGCCGTAAATTGCCTTTTGGAGAAAATTTGCTTATCCGATTAGCGACTCCACATTTGCAATTGTGCTTGTGCTTATGGAAAAAATGATGACTCCCTAACCACTAAAATGCAAGAGACGTGCAAGCATGCAAACAAATTGCATCGCAATATCGAAAGATCCCTGAATCACATGATCTTTCTTAATATAGAGATAGGGAACCCTTTATAATACGTAGCATTGATTCTTTTAATCCTCCTAACCTGTTATTCTCGTTGCCGATACCATACCACTCCTGTCACGGCATCTCGTGATCAATTCATAGTCTCATAAAGAATGAACTTTGTTTGTGCTATTATTAGACCTTTTGGTCCGATACGTGCGCAAATGCCTTTGTTTTAATACCTCTTTCTTACAAGAGGCATTTGTGACGCACACGAATTCTTTTTATGATGACCATTACGGAGTAAAAAAGAAGCTGTTAAGCTTACCTTATTTGACACTCTAATAATCGCGGTGCTACGTGGTACTTGGAAAACAATGATTATGGAATGTGATACGCACAGTACCCGACGACAAAAAGTTTTTAGGAACCCTCAATAAAGCACAGTATATCGATCGTTGACTGTGCGCACACATGCACATTACGTACACACGTAACGTAGATTTGGTATATATGCGCACTTGTTACCGGTTATCTTGATAGTCTCTGCCTAATTTCTTTTTTTACTTTTTATCTTTGTTTTCGTTGAGGTTCTTATCAATTGCGATGGCATCAATTTCATAATCCTGGAAAGAATACTTTTCGAAACGACTCTGCACGACAATTTTTTTACAGGTTTTTGTGTGCAATTGTAGAAAGAATCAAAAAAATTTTTTATGTACGGCATGCATAGCGTATCAATAGTCCTTCAAATCCTGCGGCAATGAGATCATAATCTATGGATTATGATATTGTCGTCCGAACGCCCAACCCCAGTTTGTCTGCGGCCAACTTCCAAACACCAGTCGAACCCACGTTCTTTTGTTTAATCAGATTTTGACAATTGGCAATTTTTCGTGAATTTAGAAATCACAATAGTCTTTATAGCAAAAATTACAAGTAGAAATCGTATATTTGTTATGTGATCGAAACAAGGCAAAATACTCTATTGTATTTGACATCGAAGAAAAATCGACCGCCTCCGAAATTAACCATTTCAGACCACCGAATGAAACGGATCCATATTATATAATGATGCCACTTACTCAAATACGCACCATGCATCCATTTCGAATCACAAATCAAGTTAAACCAAAGAGGATCTCTAACGGGTTCGGGAGATACAAAATTAGGCTTAATTGCTTTGTTTCCAATTTCACAACTTTTGCATCGATCATAAACGATTTGCGAGAGCCTATTGTCTCACGGAAACTTTAAGCGGAAGGTTTATATGATCCGGAAAGGCATTGTCTAATTTGATTTTTCGCAATGACAAACAATAACCTCGAAATTGACATTGTAAGCAATAAATATTTTTTAATGTTCAAGACACATTATCGACTCGAGATCTATTCCAATTTTTATTTATTTATTTATGAATCATTATTATTTAAACTTTTAAGATAAAAAGAAATCAAAATATATTATGATAATATAATAACAAACATATTAAACAAACAAAAAAAAAATTTTTTTTTTTTCTTTTTTTTTAAATTTGTAAACTTATTAAACTCATTATTACCCATTAGCTTATAATAATATACTGTAAATGCAGTATATGGTGGGATATTCAAAATGTAAAGAAAAATATTTAATTGTTATTATTTCATATGCACATAACTTTCATAAAAAAGTTTTTTTAAAAAATTTTTTTAAATATAACAATATACAGTATATAATATATACAAATTCAAGTATTGGATTCTAAAAATATAATTTTTATATAGTTTCTAACCAAAGTTAATTTATTTAATGGTTTAAAAAAAATTTTTTTTTTTTTTTTAATGAAACGTGATAAAATTAGAATTCATTGTTAGCTTGAAATTTTTAATTTATCAAATTAAAAATTTCTTCAATATATCACATTACAATAAAAAATTTTGATTGTAATTTAATATACACATTTTTTTATTTTTTTTTTGAAAAAATTATTAAAAAAATCTTTTCATATTATAAATTAAAAAATTAATTTTTAGAATGGATAAAATGTATATTAAAATAAATAATTGTTTTATAAATACAAAAGTTTTTAAAAAGAATCCAAAAATTTTACAAAAAATATATGGTATCTAAAACTATAATAATATGAATTTATTATTATAGATTATTATAAATATTTTTTAATAAATTAAAAATTTTTATTTGAATAAAAAATTTGATCATTATTGTATTTTATTTGATAATTTAATAATTACATTAAAAAATAAAAATTATTTTTAAAAAAAACAATAATAATAAAGTTATCATAAAATATCAAATGAAAAAAAGACATACATATTTTTTGATTAAAGATTTTTTATTTTTATAAAAAAATTAATCAAATTTTTAATTATAGTTTAATTATTATTTTAATTAAAATATATAATATAAAAATTAAATTTTTGATATATCAATAATCAAAAAATAAAAAATATAATTATATTATAAAAAAATTTTTATAGAAATTTTTTATTCAATTTAAATATTAATTTTTTAATATATTACTATTCTATACTTTATAATATTTATTTTTTAAAAAAAATATGATGAAATTATTTTAAATAATATAATTTTAACTTGATAAAATATAAATAAAAAAATAATAGTAATAAATATAATATAGAATTATAAAATATAAAGCAAAAGTTTATTCATATTTATATTTTATCAAATTAAAATTATAAGTTTTTTAATTAATTAAATATACAAAACATATTTATTTGAATAATATAATATATAGTATATACAATAACTTATTATACTAATTTAAAAAGTTTTTAAGTTTAATTTAATTTTTTTTTAAAACCTATGGTCAGATCAATATTACTGTATATATTTATTAATCATTATAAAAACTAATAGAAATATATAAAGCAATTGTATTATGGTTAAACTAAAAACTCATATTAATATACTTATCAATAGTTTACAATTTTCAAAAAAGCTTTGGCCTCTAGATGTAATCTTGAGGACAATATTTTATTCTGAGTAAATTTTAAATAAATATTCTCCTAATTTATATATATTTTTTATTTTTTTTTATTAAAGTCATAATTGATGAAGTTTATTAGAGTTAAGATTAGACAGTACATATAATTATATGAGCAATTTGTATAACTAATTTTAGTGCTATCTAACCTTCGTATCTATAAACCCAACTTAATTTTACCTACAAAGTACCATTATATCAGTATGCCCTGCTCTTCCCGAGCAGTGATGTTTATGTGGATTCATTACAGATTTGTATTATTTCTTTATCGAAGGGCTAGGGTTTATTACCATTGCAAGGTATTGAAACTTGTTTTTGTATTCCAGTGTGAACATCTTGCCATATTTAGATTGCTAGAGTTATCAATTATTATCCAAACCTATGATTTGATGTGAGATTCTAGAGGTTGAATAATGCATCACGTTCGATTTTCATCTTCCATTTAACCATTTTTAACTATTCTTTAAATATGGTCTTTCAGGAATTTTTCTTGGTTACTTCGTAGTAAATTGCTCCTTCCATTGGATTGATTACCTTAATGATTGTTTTTGAATTTCTTCTCCTAGGGTCTATCCTACATTTTCCTATTGTGAGTTGACCTCGGTTGGGTAGGTCATTCTTTTGTGATAACCATTGATGATAGATAACACATATTTCCCAATATGTGTCTAGCCCATTACGCTTTCGACTGGTGCAAGCGACCAAAGTCTTCCAGATCTTCCACAAGTGAGTTTTTTGAGAAGAGATGAATATCAGCATCTAGATCATTGGACTGAACCAATCAGTTTCTTTCTTCAGTCTTCATATATTCCGATCAGCATGATGTTGATGTTGTAGTTAGGCGCTAAAACTGGCATAACCTATATGACCTGATTTTTATAATACCATGGTCAGGCGGTGGTTTTTGATAGGTCGTTGTATACAAGACTGCATGTGGCTTTTGAACATGCATCTTATACAATGTGACCTATATTGTAAAAACTGTTTATGAATGGGATTGAACCAGTATCTCACGGATGGTGACCTGGGAGTACACCCACTGCACTATTGACCCACAGATTCCTAATTTATATATTATTGCTAGCAAATTATTATTATTTATTATTCTTTAAAAAACTGTTTTCAGAAAACCATAAAAGGGAAAAGAAAAAATAAAGGAAAAAATAAATATCTAAAAACTGTGCAAGTGTATAATATGAAAAGAAAAATAAAAAAGAAAAAAAAAATACTTTATATTTTTCAAAGAATCAATACTAAAAATTTCTTATTATTAGGAATCAATCTTTCTGGGATATTCTTTTTCTTTCTGACTATCCAATAAACTTATCTATCTATACTCTTTATTATTTTATTGTGATCATCTAAGATACTTATTATCTACTTGAATTCAATATCTTGCTTAATACTTTCTTTCTTTTGATCTTGATTTTATATTTACTTGTGCAGAAAAAAACAACTAATGATAGATTTTAGATTTTTATATAACTTTTCAATCTTGTTATATAATTCCCAATATCTTTCGGCAGTTATATCTAGTTAAAAAAAATTTATTGGTATTTATTTTAATTGCAATATTGTTATATAATATCTGAAAAATAGCATTCTCAATTCTAGAGAAGCACAATATTTTATATTTTTCTACTTTTCAGTTTTACAACCTGACCAAGATAAGGAAATAATCTTCTTTATATACTTTGTTTGACCAGAATAATAAGAAGTTGAAGGTCTCAATT